AACTAAAATGCATCACCGCTCACAAAAAAAACAAATCTAACGGCAGAAAGCAATAACGAGAGAACATAATGAAAGAATAGAAAAAATCTGGTTTTACTCCTATCTAAGATTTTCAACGCTACCACTAGCCACATGAGGAACGGGTACCTTGGTATTGTAGGTAGACTCGAGACTCGACGTGGGACTTAGCGGTGTACCAGCTTCATCAAACAGCTCGTAACTGGGTCCTCCTCAGGGTCTTCTTCCGGGTCTTCATCAACTGACTCGGTGTCAGAGATGAGGATCGGGTTACCCTCACTCCCAAGAACTCCTGGTTCATCACCCTCAGCATGGGGAGGCTCCTCTGCACACGACAAAGTAGGTGACCTCATGGATACTACGTACGAAGAGTAGGCGACCTCGCAACAAGATCCTCTTCTGCTCTCCTAGCTTGCTCTCCTATCTCAGCAAGTTCACGGTAGTCTTCCAAGGTCTTCCACCTCGCCATTTTTTCTCGAATCTCAGGCCACAGCCCCTTATGAAACATGTAGACTAAATCTCTGTCTTTGCACAAGCGTCCCCAGAACCGGGCCACTATTCGTCTGTTTGTTGCATTACGATGCCGCCTATCAGAAGAACTGCCAGGAAACAAGTTATTCCGATATCTAAAGTTGTGACCAAAGCTATGCGGCGTGACGCTCGTCGCATTGCAGACCTCTGGGTTGCGGAGAATGCACAAGAGGGGATGCCGCCTGAGCAGAGGAGAAGCAGGACGCCTCCAGCTCATGTAAACCCGGGCCGAGAACCCCCGAACGCGTTACACCAGAATGCGGGGTTAGTGGACATGCCCATTCAACTCACCTGGACGCCCGGATTTGTGATTCAGGGTACTAAATCGGTCGATGAGTACTACAAGGACTTTGAAACAGTGGCCCGGTTCTGGGGGCACTTGTGGAAAGACAGTGATCTAGTCTACATGTTTTATAAGGGGTTGCGGCCTGAGATTCGAGAAGAAATGGCAAGGTGGGGGACTTTGGAAAACTACCGTGAACTTATTGAGATAGGGAGCAAGCTAGGAGTGCAGAAGAGGATCTTGTTGCGAGGTCGCCTACTCCTTCGTACGTAGGATCCATGAGGTCGCCTACTCTGTCGTGTGCAGAGGAGCCACCCCATGCTGAGGGTGATGCACCAGGAGTTCTTGGGAGTGAAGGTAACCTGATCCTCATCTCCCACACCGAGTCAGTGGACGAAGACCCGGAAGAAGACCCCAAGGAGGACCCCAATTACAAGCTGTTTGATGAAGCTGATGCGCCGCTAAGTCCCACGTCGAGTCTCGAGTCTATCTGCAATACCAACGTACCCCGTTCCTCATGTGGCTAGTGGTGGCGTTAGATTTCTTAGATAGCAGGAGTAGAACTAGATTCTTTCTATTCCTTCATTATTCTTTTTCGCCGTTAGATTTGATTTTTTTTTTTTTTGTGAACGGTGATGCATTTCAGTTATTTTCTCAAACACTATGTAGTCCTACTCCTTTATTATTATTACTTATTAATCTATTTACATCCGGAGGGAGCAGTGGAGCTATTCAAGTTTGAGTTTCCTTCGCTTTCACATTTCAATATGTTGGGTAAAGGAGTCGCAATATGAACCCTTATCGCAGAATTCGGAGATGAATTTCTATTAAGAGAATAATTGTAATACCTGTTTCCCATTTTTAGTGGGCATTTTTTTATTCCTTTTGGTTGCACTTCCGGCCCAAGTGAGCCCACCTCCCTCTTCTAACCAAAACGCATGTGCATTAGTGTATATATCTCCCTCTCCATTCTCTTCCGAAAACCTAGCCACTCGAGAGAAAAAAAAAACCAGAGAGAAGAGAAAAGCGAAAGGGAGAGAGTTCGTGTTTAGGGAGAAAGGAAAAGGAGAGAGAGGGAAGCTGCCATCAACGTAAGCGTGAGGAACCGCCGTCGTTACCTAATCACCACCAGTCATCACCCAACACTAGTGCGAGTCGCACGACGTAGGAGGAGCGCCTGTCACCACTCATCACTTGGCGGATCGGAAATCCAGCACCGTCGAGTTAAATCGTGAGGTCTTAGTGCAAGCCGAGTGTACCTTGTGCAGGAAGCAACCAAGATCCACCGCTTTTCTCCGCCATCTTCAATTGTCTGGCTCCATTGTTGTAAGCTAAGGTGAGGGTGGATCTAATTCACTACCTTATGCGCTTTCCTATGCCATATCACACTGAAATCGTGGTCTGGTCTCCTCTGGTGTGTGTGGGTAGCCGTATCGTGTAGTAATAGTTAAGGGGTTAAAAATGTGTAGTTGAAAGTATATCGGGATATCAAGTGTGGTTTCGTGTTAAGTCAAGTATATATATATATATATATATATTCATATATCTTTTCTATGTGTTATGTATTGCATATGACGTATATAATGTGGTGGGTTCTATTTGTTACTAAATGTACTATTAATATTAAAATATATATTCGTGCTTATTAGTAGTATGGGATAATTAAAGAAACAATATAATAGCGGGGTTGTTACAAGTTGATTGTGGTAAAATAATTATTTCTGGTTAGTGTAGTATTATCATAATTGTGAGGAGTAAGTATATAATATATATATATATATAAACATTGTGGGTTTGGCGTTACTAATAAATTAAGATGGAGATTAACGTTTATGTGAGGGTCAATTATGTGTTATGTTTTTAATGTCCAACGTGGTTAGTCCGACCACGTTGTTACTTGTTGGGTTACTGTATCAAATGAACATTACGCCATGGCTCAGTATCGATTAATTAATTAACCGGACATATTCGTGGGCGCTCTGCGTTGCGGGAACTCTTCGGGGTGGAGATTGTCTTTTGACATGGTGTCTTTCGAGATGATATATATATATTCATATACACACAATTACGAACTCGTGCAATAACACTAAACACCACGATCAACTTTATTTTATATGAGTACAATAATCTATACTATTAAAGAGAATCATTAATTTGAAATGTCCAAAAATTATAATGGTATTTACTAGATGTGTCATTAGATTCACAAGAAAATTTAATTATTTTATTAAAGATAATTTTGTCATATCATTAAACTGTTAACAAATACATTAAGTTAAATTAAATTAAATTAAATTATATTAGTTTGTTAACAGATAATACCAATAAATTATATCTGATACTAATAAAATTCAAATCAATTTAATTTTGAAATTATTTTAAAATTTTTTATAATATATTAACATAATTACCACATATATGTCATAAATAACTAATATAATTATTTATATTATATTATAATCAATGATTTCTCTATAATATTAAAAGAAAATCACTATTTTAAAATATCTAAAAGCTACTATATTATTTACTAAATGTGATAATTTATGGTCAATAATGAATATGTAATCATTATTTTCTGTTTACATATATACATATTATAAAAAATATTATGTAAATAATTTTTTTCTTGATTTGTTAATGATTTTTTTGCAGAAAATCATGGGTTTGTGAATTTGACAAACATAATTTTGTAGATTTTACGGATTTTACAAGTTTTAGCGAATTTTATAAGTTTTAGCGGAAAATATATTTTTACGAGAAAATGTCTATTTGACAAGAAATATGCTTTTGTAGATTTAGCAGAAACACATGATTTTAGAAATTTGGTCGTAAATCATGATTTTGTAGATTTAGAGGAATTACAGGAAAACACGGGTTTGCAGAATGTGAATAACACAATTTTACGGATTTTATGGGTTTTACAGATTTTAGCGGGAATATGAAGTCATATGGAAAAATGCGGATTTGTGTGTTTGGAAACTCGATTTTGCAGGTTTGGCAGAAACATATGAGTTTAGAAAATTGGTCATAAAACACGATTTTACGGATTTTACAATTTTACAGAAAACACAGGCTTGTGGATTTGACGGAAAATGTGACTTTGCAAGGTTTACATGTTTTAGCTGGTTTTATAGGTTTTGATGGAAAAATGTGGTTTTATGGATTTTATTGAAAATGCAGGTTTGCGGGTTTGACGAGAAATACAATTTTGCAGTTTTAACAAAAACACGTAATTTTAGAAATTTGTTCATAGAATACGGTTTTATGGTGTTGGGGGAAACATAATTTTTGATTTGTTAAAAAATGTAGATTTACAGTTTTGGCAGGAAAATACGGTTTGATAGAAAATACTATTTTGACAGTTTCTACAGAAATTCCCGATTTTGGTACAACAACATGATTTTATAATTTTGCTGGAAAATGCGACTTTTTATTTGGATAGAAAACTCTGATTTTATTGTTTTGACAAAAAAAAACTTGATTTTGTGGTTTAAATTAAAGTTGTTTTAATCTTTTAATTTTTGAGATTCAAATGTTGTATCTAAACTCTATTTTTTTTAGTATCTTAAATATACAAATTTTGAGATATTATAGATTGTGTATCGAGAACAACATCGATAAACTGATTTAAAAATATTTTTAAAAAAATAATATTTGAGTATTTGTATCCAAATAAGTATAGAGATGCAAAACAAACAGAGCCTAAGTTAATATTGAAATCTTAATTACAAACAAATGAAATCTCTCTTGTATTATAAAACATAATATTATAAAATATTTGTTACAAACCTTAACAGAAAATGCACTAATCAAATTTTTTTTTTATATAAAATCAAATCTAAATAATTTTAAAAATATAAAACCAAAAATATAAAAATAGTTATATAATCTCATAAAAAATTTAGTTTGGTAAACAATTTTGGATTTAATAATATAAGTTAATTTTTTTAAAACAAAAATTTAATATAAATCAATTTTTGCTATGATACAAAATATTTTATAAAACGATACTCGCGCACTTCAAAATCTAGTATAACTAACACAACGCAAAACCAATATAACTCTAAGCATCAATTGACTTAACACGAACCCACATTTTTAACCCCTTAACCATTACTACACGATAAGGCTACCCACATAAAGTAGTGAATTAGATCCGCCTCACCTTAGCTTACAATGATGGAGCCGGACGGTTAAAGATGGCGAAGAGAAACGGTGGATCTTGGTTGCTTCCTGCAAAAGGTACACTCGGCTTGTGCTAAGACCTCGCGATTCAACTCGACGGTGCTGGATTTCGGGTCTGACGGTGATGAGTGGTGACAGGCGCTCCTCGTACGTTGTGCGACGGTGTTGGGTGATGACTGGTGGTGATTCGGTAACGACGGCTCCTCACGCTTACGTTGATAGCGGCTTCCCTCTCTCTCATCCTCCTTTCTCCTTAAACACGAACTCTCTCTCTGTCTCTCTTTCTCTCCTTTTCGATTTTCGCTTCTCTCTGGTTTTCTTTCTCTCAAGCGGCTAGGTTTTCGGAAGAGAATAGAGAGGGAGATACATACATCAATGCACGTGCGTTTTAGTTAGAAGAGGGAGGTGGGCTCACTTGGGCCGTAAGTGCAACCAAAAGGAATAAAAAAAAAGCTCCCCTAAAAATGGGAAACGGGTATTACAGAAGGTTTGGTACTGATCGTTTTAATGGTTTAAGAGCTGCATTCAATTCTTCGAGGTTGACGTTTCAATTTCAGAGTTTGCTGTTCTTACCTCTGCTTTCAACTTAAAGATTAACTAGGTGGTTGGCCCGCACATATGTGCGGATATAATTTTTTAATATACATAGTTAATTATAATATTTCAGTGATTATTTTTTTAAAACATTGATATATTTGTATATATATATATTGTTTTAATATTTTACAAATTTCTTTCTGAAATAAATGTATTTTAAACTTTTTATTTTTATAATATTTGTAATAATATATAATCACAAATATAAAAGTTATATTAAATAATAATTAAATTCTTATAATATGTTTTTGAATATTTCTATAATATGCTTTATTTTTCCATATACAATTTACAATATGCGTTTTGCGTCTTACATAATATGAATTTGCAAATACACATGTAATATAACCATTTTTACTTATTCTTAAGAGCGGATATATGGTTGGCACGCTTGTGCGGGCATACCAACCACTTCACTACACTTAGAATAGATAAAGATTTCTATAAAATATAAATTGTATAATAATTAAAATAAAATTTCAAATGTAATCAAGCTTAATAAAATACATGCACGAAAAAGTTTGTATGTGACTTCAACTAATGCACAATTAATATTTATGTATGTACGCGTATCTGTAAAAAAGTTGAAATATGGCTCTAACGTGTTAAAAAATATTTAAGTGACTTTGTAAAACAAAATGCAAGAGATTTATTTTTATATATTTCTATTTTTGTTTCTTATTTATATTTCATCTTATTTTAATTTATTCTTTTGTTCGGTTATTTTTTATTTCATTTATGATCTCAAATTTTTGATATACAATGAAAATAAATATATATATATATATATATATATATATATATGAATAAGATATAAAATATGATAAGAGATCAGATGAGAGATTATAATATAAGTTATGTACATTTTAGAAAACAACAACAAAAAAATAATAAAAGTTATAGAAAAATATATGGTCCTATTAATAATATAAAATAATAATTAGTACATACTTTGTTCATTTAGTAAATATTGGTTTGAAAAGAATAATTATTTTAAATTACGTTGTTTTTATAAAAAAACAATAAAAATTAATTATTTTTTATTATTTTTAACATTTTATTGTTTAAATTATTTTTATCATGATTGTATTTTATTTAAAATTATATTATTAATAATTTGTTTATTTAAAACTTGTTTAGATATTATTACCATATTTTGTAAATTAATAACTTTTCAAAATATATCATACTGAAGTACTATTAATATATAAAATTTTTACTATTCTATTGGATAATTTAGTATTATTTTTTTGTTTTATATGAAATTATAGTATATATATTGTTGGAAAAAAAATTGTAATTATATTTTATGAAATTATGAATATATGTAAAAAATTGAAATTATAATAATTATTATATTCTGTTAGTTTAAATTTGTTAATTTTAGTGTTATAAATATAATCTAGTGTATTTATGTTTTAATTCCACAATTTCTATAATTTTAATTCAATCAATCAAAATATTTAATTTATTTTAGGAAGTTTGACATGTCATATTTACATGTCATCAATTAAAAACACTAATTTTGGTAATATGTAGTAGATAAATTCTCTCAATTTTTTTTTTTTTTACTTTACCTGCGTTGTGAATGTGTAAATGGGCATCTTTACTAAACTCTGTTCTTCTGTATCGCAAGTTTGTGTTGCCTTACCTTAGGTTGGCATGCATTTGCAAACTCCATCAAACCAGAAGACTCAAACCGTATGAACAACGCGTCACCTAACTATGGAGGAGACTATGAATGGAATAGAGGGTGAATCTTTAGGTGCCATAGGCAAATCTGTCAGAGATCATCCTATCTTCTTTTCCTTTTTTCGCTGATAGGGTTATTGAAGATTGATCTCTGTTTCGTAGCTAACAGAACCAAAGATCTTTTGTGTTACGGATCTCTCAAAACATCTGTTAGATTGTCTTGTCTTAGTTTAGCTGTTTTTCATTAAAGAGCAAATGTCAAAATAATTTGAATTGCGAGTAGGCTTGTATTGTCCAAAAGCTCAGGCTTTGAGAAGAGCGTTGAAGGGTGAATTGGTTTAGATGAGAGATTGGAAAAGCTTCTCTCTTTATTTGTTACGTAGCTACTCGCTTGGGTTGGGTGTGGATTCTGTCCGGTTAGTGGTACAATTTTTTTATTTCGGTTTAGTGCCTCTGATCCCAAAATACATATATTGTATAATTTATATTTATTTAGTGTTGCAACTTGCAAATATAAAATGGTGTAGGTTTTTCAGTCAAGTCGGTAATTGTTAATTTGTAAACTTATACAAACTCTCTATTCTTCGGGTTTGAGTCACGGAGTAATTTCGGTTGACGTACGGTTTATTACGGTTTAGGAGCCAGTCGGTTGTCGAAAGGCCAAAAGCAAATCCAACAACTTTACAAAAACCGTAATAAACCGTTAGGGCGAACCGAAATAATTGTTGAATAATAATCACGTTTTTTCACCGAGACCGATCCTAAACCAAACTGAGTCGCATATAATTTCAGGTCTTATTCCTTCATCGACTTCCTGGGTCTGCTCATAGGCTCATCGTCCGATTCAGAGACGAAAGGTAGTAGATGGATTTGATGGAGAAGAACGTGGAGTTAGTCGAGGTTCAGAAACTTGAAGGCCACACCGATCGGGTTTGGAACGTAGCCTGGAACCCCGTCTCCTCTTCACCGGTTCTTGCTTCGTGCAGTGGCGATAACACCGTACGAATCTGGGAACAGAGCTCGCTCTCTCGCTCCTGGACCTGCAAGGTCTCTCTCAATCTATTCCTTTATTACCTTTAAACTTCGTGGGTTTTGTCCCAATTCTCTAAGGGCTTAACTTGACCTTCAACTTCGAGTTGATTAGTTCTTGTGCTATTAGTATTAGTCCCCAAAGGCCAAAGCTTTATTGGTTACAAGACTTGCTTACTCATGTAAATATACACTTTTTTACCTATAAAAAAAATCCTGAATTCATTACTCCTTGACCTTAAAATTTGTGGGTTTTGTTCCGATTCTCTAGAGGGTTTAACTTGACCTTGTACTTTCTTAGTTCTTGGTGTTATTAGACCAAAGCTTTATTGGTTATATGATACTTGTTATCGTGTATTGTGTGATTGCTCAGACAGTTTTGGAAGAAACGCACACAAGAACCGTGAGGTCGTGTGCTTGGTCACCTTCAGGAAAGTTACTGGCCACTGCAAGTTTTGATGGTACAACTGCTATCTGGGAGAACTTTGGGTCTGAGTTTGAGTGTATTTCTACGTTGGAGGTACTTCCTTCCCAAATCCTTGACTTGTAATTGTATTTCCATGTGCTGTTAAGCAACATAGTCACTGGCTGATAAGCATAGCTAGTAAAGAGCGCTCTTTTTTGCTCTTTCGACTCTGTTCTTACCTGATCTGTAATGCTGAGATCCTCGCGTAGCAACCCGGCTCCTTTGAAATTTTTCGTTCCGTTATGTAAATTCTCCATGACTTATTAGAGTTACTAATCTCATGGATTTTTGAGTGTTCACTTCATGATTTAGTATTGTTATGCTAAAAGTGTTTGGTGGTTTTCTTTGTACTGTTTGATGCTTTGTGTCACCACGTTTTTGGCTAGTGGAAACTTATTGAAAGAGTTGTATGCAGGGACATGAAAACGAAGTCAAAAGTGTATCATGGAATGCAGCTGGTTCATACCTTGCAACCTGTAGTAGAGACAAGTCTGTCTGGATTTGGGAAGTGCTTCCAGGTAACGAATATGACTGTGCTTCGGTGCTAAATGGGCATACACAAGATGTGAAGATGGTTCAGTGGCATCCCACAATAGATGTTTTGTTTTCTTGCAGTTATGATAACACCATCAAGGTAATACGAATACGCTCATTGGGTTCGGTGGTGCATAACCTGAAACTTGTTACAAACAATATTTTTGTTATAATTTAATACTAACGTGCTACTCGCAGGTTTGGTGGTCTGAAGATGACGATGGTGACTATCAATGTGTCCAAACCTTAGATGAGTCTAACAAGTATATCTTCTAGTTACCTGTTCTTTATATACCTTCAAGTTTTTTTTTTCGTAATAGGCTTTGAGCTTTTGTGGTAGTCGTTTAATATGTGCCTTTAATTCTTCACACAGCGGTCACACCTCTACTGTTTGGGCCATTTCATTTAACGCTGCAGGGGACAAGATGGTCACTTGTAGGTTGGTGAATCTTTTCCCTTTGTCTCTCATAGGCGTTCAAGTTATCTGTCTCTTGTGTACTGTTCTGATAATTATAGGCTAACCCGAATGTATTTTTGCAGTGATGATCTAACCTTGAAGATATGGGAGACAGATATTGCAAAGATGCATTCTAGTGAAGGATATGTTCCCTGGTGAGAATATAGTGGCGTACATTTAACCGAGTTTGTTCGTTTTTCTTACAGTTCAAAGCTTGACATAATATTCTCTCTTTGTCCAACTTCTTCTATTAATGGAATGCTTACCTGTTCGGACTTTGCAGGACTCATGTTTGTACACTCTCTGGTTATCATGACCGTACCATATACTCAGCTCACTGGTCAAGGTATTGGCACCTCGCTTTGTTTCTTTAAAACGTGATGTTATCCTCCTAAGCTTTTAGTGATTGACTCTGCTAGCCTAAAAGGAAAATTCTTTGTTGTACCTGACAATATTCCTTCGATAAAATATATTGAGATTCGTGATTTTCAGATCATTTTACTAAGCTGTATTGTCTTATCCAAGGCTGTTCCGTGAGAACCATGCTGAGTTTGAAATTCCAGATTTATATATCTTTTAGATTTTCTATTAAATTTTGTTTTCATACCTTTCTCTACTAACGCCTTTACAGGGATGACATTATTGCGAGTGGAGCAGGCGATGATGCTATACGGTTGTTTGTGGACAGCAAACTTGACTCTGTAAGAAATTTTCATCTTATGTTTCCCTTCAAAAATGAAATCCTTCCCTTCAAAAATCAAATTCTTTTTAATTCAATGTGGTCTTGAATACAATTTGGCTACATAATTTCACAAACCGAATGCAGTTAGACATGTTCTCTTCTTCTTTGATCTTAAAGTTGTTTTTCTGTGTAACCAGGTTGATGGACCTTCATATAATCTCTTGCTAACGAAGGAAAAAGCACATGAAATGGATATAAACTCTGTTCGATGGTCACCCGGTGTAAGTTCCATGTTTTTTATGAAGTTAATACACACAAATGCATACAACCTCATACTTGATATATGGTTGCAACGATGAAGTAAATTCTATATGGAATTTTGTATAAATATAGCCTAGAAGATAGAACATAGTACGGAAGCTTGGTTATACTATCAGAGAGATGGTGACATTGATTGTTCGACTTAGTTTAGTTTGAGTACATGAAGATAGAGACAGTGGGTTATGATTAAGTTTTACCAGAAATTTCTGCATAGAATTTATGATTTTGAGGTTGAAGTTGAAGTTGTAACCTGAAACAGGAGGAGAACCGGTTGCTTGCGTCAGCCAGTGATGATGGGATGGTCAAGATTTGGGAGCTTGCAACTAAACCGTGACTGGTGTTGGTTTGGTTAGGTTCTGAAAGTCATATGATGTTTATTTTTCCTGAGGTATACCATAGCAAGAAGAGAACTATGTACAATTCTTTCATATGATTTAAGCGTTCATAAAAATTTCCAATTGTTTTCAAAGATGTAAACTTCATGCTATTTCAATAAGAACTTAATTTGTCCCATTATATAGTCTTTTATATTTGTATTCTTTAAAGTTTAACCTTTGAAGTTCCTTGATTTGGGTGTTAGCTCTTGTGTGCTCTATGCTTGTTCGTATCAAAAATGAGGACGGAAAATTTTAGGAACGGGATGAGTAATTCCAATATTGAAAAACAATACTTAAAGTTTCCGATAAGAAACAGGATGGGAAGTTCGGTTAATGGGAAGGGTTTAGGTAGTTAAAATTTCTTCCCAAAAGAGTAATTTGGGTAAAAGGTCGGAAAAGAAAAATGGCCAATTCTTCTATAAATTTATAAATTTCTAATGATTGATACAATAATTACATAAACTATTTAAAATTGTAAAAGTATTACATGAACTAAAAAAATATAGTCAATTTCACCAAAATTGTATATAATGTTTATTGTAGCGTTAGTTACGATGACATGTAAATATTCAAAACAATATTATTTTAGTGGAAAAAAAAGCTGATTTCTCTATGAACTTATAAATTCTTAACGATTTATATATAATCTATGAACTAATGCTAATAACTACATAACCTATCTAAAATTTTGAAAATACTATATAAACTAAGAAAATATAGTCGATTCTACCAAAATTGCATATAATGTGAATTGCAGCATTGGAAATTGCTGACTATGATAACACGTAAAAAAAAATCGAAACAACATCATTTTACTAAATATAATCTAAAATACCCAAAAAGTCATTGTTTTATCTTTAGTTCGAATCGCAGCTTTCAAAACTTTCTCTGCAACGCCACTATTTCTCCAATTCACAGCAAACCAGATGATCCTCAAAGTCGTTGGAAGGGTTTGCTCGGATCCACATTGTTGATTTTGATATTAAATTTTGCTTGAATTAAAGCTCGCCTGGAAAGGAAATAAATCATTATTTTTTTAATAATTATATATAAATTAAATAAATTTAAAATATATAAATTCAAAATATTTGAGTGTTGCCATTGACACCATCGTGAGGAGGAAAAAGAAGAAGTGAAAGAGAGGTTTTGGAGTTAATAATTTTTATAATCTAAAACAGTACAATTTTTTTAATATGAGAAACTAGAATAACATACATTTTAGAGTTGAATGATATGTAACTTTTTCACGTGTTCACGTTCTGAAAACGTGATTCTACTAAATACATATCATTCACAATATTAAACATTGAATGATAAAAAGTAAAAAACGACACACTATTTTTTAAACCATCCCGCATGTTTTAAATTTATAACTAGTTTAAAGAAAAATTCATTCATCTAATAGATACTAGTTTTTTAGCGTTTTGAGTTCATTTAGCTTTCAGTTTACCCGTCCTATTGATTCCGCTAGTTTATTATTCAGTTATTCCACTATTCTGATATTAAGTTGACATATCAGTCAAACCCTTTGTATATATTTGTTACTGGTAAGCAAAATCAATTATTTAATAACAAAACAATGTCATTTTAATATTACATGTGTCGTCGTAGTTAGCAATTGTATTAACTGCAATTAAAGTTATGCGATTTTAATAAAATCGACCATATATCTTTAGTTCATGTAGGATTTTCAAAATTATAGATAATTTATTTAGTTATTAGTATTGATTAATAAGATTACTCCACGTGTCGTCCTAGTTAGCAATCGTTAATACTACAATAAACGTTATATGTAATTTTTAGAATAGTTTTTGGTTTTACTTTTTGAAAAACTATTTCTTTAACCATTCAAGTTTTTAAGCAAATAGATTTCCTAAATTATAGAAAAACTAGTTTTTCTTGGTTTTTAATATTTTACAAACAAAAACCATAATTTGTGAGTTTTTTTTAAGAAGTTATCATAATTTTCGTTTTTAAAACCTGTGTATATTTTTATAAATATTTTTTTGGTATTACTTATTATTTTCATAACAAATAGTATTTATATTTATTAATAAATTATATTTATTTTGGTTTTGGTACTGTTTGATATTATTTTAAATATTTAATACAACAAAAACTAATACAAAACATAAAATCATATCTTATTATTAAGTCAATATTTTATATTAAAAATATATATGTAAAAAAAACTAAATAAATCACCATTCAAGTTTTTTGTAGAACTGAAATCTACAGCAGCAAAAAACCAAAAATTAAAAATCTAAAATCTAAAATCGGAATAATATATTATTATTGATAAATTTTACACATTTTTTAATCATGTAAACCATATAAAAAAATTATCTCTATTTTTTATAAACATCTCTAAAAAAATATGAAATAATAAACTTATTTTATTTTAATTTTATGACACAAGCTTATGTACATTTTATTAATAATTTTATTATTACTTACATTTTTGTGAATTTATTAACGATAAATATGTTAAAATTAAAACTTATAAACATAACAGCATTTATAAAAATAAAAACCAAAAACTAAATAAATTATCATTCAAGTTTTTTACAAACCAAAATCTACTGCAAAAACAAAAACTAAAAACTAAAAACCAAAACTTGAAAAATCTAAAATTAAAAGCCAAAAACCGAAATCTAAAACTTAAAGCTACATAAACATTTATCACCTTAGAATCTTGAAAGCCTTCTTCCTTACATCCAACAAAAGGCAAAAAAAAAATATATATATATTATATTTCCATGTTATTAATATGCAGTACTATCTAATTCTGCCGTGAACCCAATCACAGTTTTCTTTCAGAGTTATTTCTATGAAGTAAGAACTAAACCATGCAATTTAGAGAGAGATAAAGCAAAATATCAAAATATCATCAATCGCATCTAAGATGGGCTTATAAGGCCTATTTTATACGGCCCATAAAAATATAGTATCAGCAACAAAACCCTAAAATCCAAAGTCTTTAGCAAAAAAAAAGGAAAAAAAAAACCTTCTTCGCCGTCTATTCTCTCTCACCGGGAACCCTAAAACCTCCATCAACGCCGGTGGAAGAAACTCAATTAGTTAGAATCGTAAGCTTTCTTCCGAGATGAAGGAAGATGAAGTAAACCGATGCCAGATTCAGAACTGGTATCCGAGATTCAGATCCTTAACCATTAAAACCAAATTTCACCAACTTCCAGAGACTTTCATCAGCTACCTCACCGACGATTCTGGTCCGTTTCTTCTCCCTGATTCCGTGACGAACGAGGACGCGATGCCCAACAGAGTCCACAACCCCGAAGAAGAAGACGACTTTCAAGTCTCTGAAGGATCAGACAACGAAGCAGAGCCACCATCGAGCACCCCTTCGTTTCCAGAACTCGAGATCGAGATCAAGGAATCAATCGAAACCCTAGGCGGCGCGATTTTCCCCAAGCTGAACTGGAGTGCACCAAAGGACGCAGCTTGGATCAGCCCATCGCAGAATCTCAGCTGCACATGTCTCAGCGAGATCGCTCTCTTGTTTCGTTCCTCAGACTCGTTGCTCCACGACCTCTGCAACGCGTATGACTCGTGTACTGACAAAGCCTCCTCGAGGCCACAAAGCTTCTTCCTCGCATTGAGAAAATGGTATCCTTCTTTGAAGCCCGAGATGGAGTTTAGATGCTTTGTCAAATCGAACGAGCTTGTCGGAATTTGCCAGCGTGAGGTGACCACGTTTTACCCTGTTCTTGTCAATGAGAAGGATTTGCTCAAGGGGTTGATCGAAGAGTTCTTTGATGAACGCATTAGGTTTGAGTTTGAATCGGAGAACTACACTTTTGATGTCTATGTGACGAAGGAGAGAAGGGTTAAGCTGATGGATTTCAATACTTGGTGTGGCTCTACGTTGCCGTTGATGTATACTTGGGAAGAACTCGAGCGGATTCATGGAGAATGTAACGAATTGGAGTTGAGGATCGTTGAGAGCCGTAGGAGCGTGCTTCCTGGTTTGAAAACGGCGGTTCCTTATGATTATCTTGACATGAGTTCTGGTAGTGGTTGGGATCAGGTTATTAAGAAAGCAGAAGAGGAGCTTCAGAAAGAGAATCAGAGGTCGGATGAAGTTGCTTGAGCTTTTTTTGCATTGTTGTCCCAAAGTTCTTGATGTTGGAACTTTGATGTTGTTTGTGTCTTGTGTCATTATAAGATTTATATGTTTCAGAGTGTTTTTTTGTCTTTTCTTCTGATAAGAATTGTGTTAAAGAGGCAAATAATTCTTCTGATTGGTTTCTCATTATCAAATTAATGGCGATCTTGCTTGTCTGTTTGCATAATTGTGTTAGTTGGACGACCCATATGATCCAATTCGGTTTAAGACATACATTTGAGATTCTTAAGGTTGTCTATGTTCTTTATATATTTGGCGATCTTGTTCTAATTGGTTTCTCATTAACAAATTGGGAGGCAGCAAATTGTTCTGATTGACAAAATGTGTGGCGGGCTTGCTTGACCGTTTGCATCGGACCGGTTTGACCCGGTTCGGTTTAATATACAACAAAATTAGGAGAAAAAAAGGTTTAAGAAGAAGAAGCAGCGGAAGAAGACAGAATGATGAAGAACATTTGAGATTCTGAGGTTGTCTATCTTCTTTACATAAATATAACAACACAAAGCCGTCTCTTTTAACCTTAGTCTTCATCTTCGAGCTCAAGATTAAACTCCTTCTTCATTTGGGATCTTTTGCAAAGTGAATAACTTTCTCTTTCTCTCGATTATTCTCCACGACAAATTGTGTTTGATACTTTCAATTCTTTTCATTTACGGCCCAAGTTTGATATTTTTTTTTTATTTTGCATCGTTAATTCTAATCTCGAGATAGTTCGATTGGTACTCTTTTCAGCTTTGTTAATTCTGGGTTTGTCTCGTTTCTGGGTCGCGCTCAATTTAGGTTAAATTTCAATTCTTTTCTCAGCTAATCTCAAAGTAGGAAGCTTTTGGCGGCAGTGAACGATGCTCGGTCATAGGATCTCAAGATTCGGGTCTGCCATTGTTAAACAGCTCGCAAGAGGTATTTGTCTGTTTTAGAATTTTCCTATGTTGGTTTTGATGAAGTTTCTAGTCTCACTTTTGACTTCACACTTCGTATTAGACTCCTTCAGGGTTTTGTGGGAGTTTCTCTTAATTTACTTTGCCTCTTGTCGATATTCTCTTTTATTCTAGGGGATAATCTCTATAGACTATAGCAGCATTACAGAAAAGCTCATACATTTTGTCTGCTTGATTTAAAACTCTACACAATGCTGCCTTAAGATTTTGTTCTTCTTGTTTTGGCAGAGGGATATTTATCAGCATATGGGACAAGGAATCTACAACGGTCTTATGGACAATACTTGCGATCTCCGGTTAGTCTCAGCTTGTTCTCGACCTTTTTATTCGGTTACAGTCTATTATCATGAGTCAATTACAGTACTTGACATAATTGTGTTACTTCTTGACATATAGACTCGAATTGAGAAACTTAGAATAGGGTTCTTTGTTAGAGATCACTCTGTTATCTGGCTATGTAGAAACTTCAAGAGTGCCATAAAATGATTTCAGAAGAACGAGTTCCAGCTTTTCTGCACTTGCTTGGTGTTAGATGGATCAGTTAGCGACGGTTATAATGCATCCAGTTATATACTTGTATCCATTGTCATACTATGCTTAATGATAGCTGATTCAGGATTCGGTAAAAATAGTCAAATGTTTGGTGTTTGGCTTAAAGACGTAAACAAAAGCTTAAGATTTCATAGCTGAGAAATTTGTGTATTTAGTCACTCATAAAGTTTCTGTTTGAGTTTCCACAATTGATGTTGAATCTTTCTTGTTTTCTTCTTTTCAATAGCCAATGGTACAGAGGCAAGCTAGGACTTATCAGGAAGCCTTGTTCTTGAACAACAATAAGTTTTGTACTTCTTCCACAACTTCCTCTGAGAAGGGTGATGAAGAAACTGAAAAGTAAGTTATATAAGCTGTCGATAAACTATCTCAGCAAATTCTCAACTCTTGCGTACGGAAATGTGCATATAGAAAATGCGAATCCTTCACGATTCGAGCAATATCTTAGCTTGCTTTTTCTTTTTTTCTTTTAGGATAACCGTTATCTTTGTTGATAAAGACGGAGAGGAAATCCCTATTAAAGTCCCTATTGGAATGTCTGTGCTCGAAGCTGCTCATGAAAATGATATAGACCTCGAAGGCACAGACTTCTCTTCCATTTTACTTTTTAAGATTGATCCCTTTGATCGAATTGCAAAGTCACGGATTGCTTTTACATAATCTCCAGGGGCTTGTGAGGCGTCTCTAGCGTGTTCAACGTGTCACGTGATCGTGATGGTAAACATATCTCCTCCATTATTGATAGATCATCGTCTGATTTTCCCTTAAAACCAAGGATTTTGCTGATAAAAGTAACTATAATTTGTATTTACAGGACACAGAGTACTATAACAAACTTGAAGAACCAACAGATGAAGAGAATGATATGCTTGATCTTGCTTTCGGGCTCACAGAAACGTAAACTTTCTCTCTTCAACCAAACAAAAAAATAAGAGTTTTCATCTGTTTATGTATTGAGAAAGTATCATATGTTCATGGGAAAATGTTTCAGGTCAAGACTCGGATGCCAAGTCATTGCAAGACCAGAGCTTGATGGTGTTCGCTTGGCCATTCCTTCAGCCACGAGGAACTTTGCAGTCGATGGATTTGTTCCAAAACCACATTAGTTTTCGCAGAGATTCTCTGATCTTTTGGATATCAGAGTTTTTGATGGTTGCTTTCTGAGAGACAACAGTTTCATTACCTAAATTATTTTTGATCTGCGTATTTCCTGTTGTGTCTGAGTTTTAATAAGAATTAGCACAGTGCTTGCTTTCATTAAAAAGTTGCAGAATAAAAGCAACACTTATAGCCAAAGGAAGATGAAACAACCACTGAGTCTTCAAGCAATGGAAGCTTCACAACTGCTTCAAAGAGTCCTTCGTTTGATATTGGAGCGCACATTCCGTTGAGGCTTCTTAGATTAATTGAACTGCAAAATAGTTGCGTGTAAAAGTTAAAGAACTGAGTTCAAATGGAAGATTCAGAAGATATTCAGGAAAGAACGTTTCCTAAGCACCGCAAGATCTAAGATGCAACTGAGAGTTAATGAGAGTGAGAGAGAATGAACCTATCGGCGATGTAATTGAGGAGCGAATCAGTACAGAAGAACGAAATTTCGATCTCAAGCAAGCCTCCCTGGCTGCGATCAACTGCTTGACGGCACATAGTCTCTAGGTCTTTCAACCTCAAGTATCCGAGATCATCATGCATCACAATCTTCCGCCACATGGAAGGGTCTTTACAGACGCGACGCCACGAGGTACACACTTTCTGAGCGTTTTCCAATATCTCAATCGCGCCGAGCCTCTGCAGGATTGATGACGTCAACTCCGGCGGAAGCTCCGCCCAGTTTGGATATTCTCCGTTTTCCATCGCCGGAGGCAGAGACGAAGGTGGCTGCGAGGATGAGTCCATTTTCTCTGATGGACAAACTGTGGGTCAAGTCCTCTAAAGTAAGGGAGTGAAGTAGTTTCAACTTTCAATACATTAACTAAGGGAGTGAAGTCATTTCAACTTTCAACTCTCAACTTTCAAGACACAACTAAGGGAGTGAAGTCGTTTCAACTTTCAAGACGCAAGACCAGTCCTGCACAAGACATTAGTAAGGGGGTGAAGTAGTTTCAACTTTCAAGGCAGTCGTATCTATCTGTCACTAAATTTATAATATGGTCCTTGATGGCATTAACGAACATAATTTAAGCCAAAATATAATTAGCCTACTAACAGTAACACTAGGGTTTAGCAGGGCCCGTTAACTTTATGAATTAAGATGTCTTACATGTTTGATCTTGCTTTCTGGCTCACATAAACGTAAACGTTTTTTTTTTCTCGCTTTACTCTTAAAACCAATAAGAAAGAGAATTTAATTTTGTTTAATTATGGGAAAAATCTAAGTTCTTGGAAGAGTATTTCAGGTCTCTTGAGCATTCCTTCAGCCACAAGGAATTTCGGGGTTGATGGATATGTTCCGAAACCTCTCAATAGTTTCAGCATAGATTCTTCAACCTAAGGCATTAATGATCAAAGCGATGATTACTCGACAATGAGACTAGTTAGGAACATATAAGAGAAAAGAGGAGACATGAACGAGTTCATAGGTTCAAAAGACAAGCAAAAGCCACATGTTCTATGCATTGTTCGGAAAGATTCAATATCTACTACCAATCATCATAGACATAGTCCCTGGCACCTACTTCTCTTCCATTTTTCTTCTCCTTTTCTCAATGTCTCTTCTCAAAACTAAGAACGGATCATTCTCTGGTTTCCCTGGAACCAGGAATTTCCTGATAAAAGGAACCAGAATTGTATTTACAGAACACAGAATACTATAACAAACTTGAAGAACCAACAGATGAAGAGAATGATATGCTTGATCTTGCTTTCGGGCTCACAGAAACGTAAACTTTCTCTCTTCAACCAAACAAAAAAGAGAGAGTTTCATATGTTTGCTTATTTAGAAAGTATCATATGTTCCTAGTAAAGTGTTTCAGGTCACGACTTGGATGCCAAGTCATTGCAAGACCAGAGCTTGATGGTGTTCGCTTGGCCATTCCTTCTGCCACAAGGAACGTTGCGGTTGATGGATTTGTTCCAAAACCACATTAGATTTCGCAGAGGTTCTCTGATCGTTTTGGCTACCCTATATAATGGAACCTGAGGAACTAAAGGACCCAAGAGATGATTCCTGGTTCTATTCGAGTTTTGATGATTGCCTTTTTGAGAGAAATCAGTTTCATTACATATCTTAGTGTTGATCATTACATTTCTTCTAGCGTCTGAATTTTTCATCATAACAATATTTTGTTGTAAGATTCTCAGTGCAGAATAGCACATTAGCTTTCAGAATAAACTCAAAACCTAGAGAGTCAAAGGAAGACAGAAACAAAAGCACATAGCATTGAAACTTTCTGCGAGTTTAGAGATATTGTAGAAAGACAAAATCTCTGCCAAAGCAAAAGACACACAGGTCCATTGATGTCACTGGCACCTTATAAGTCATGGGGGAGTATTAACGTCTGAATCATATTCAGAATCCGTATCTGAATCCGTTGCATCAGATGAGTAAGGGATCAGTCTCACAACTTTGATCCTCTCTGAACAACACTTCTTGAGATCCCCAGCAAGGCGAAGGTTGAAACAGTGGCGTAACATAAGGCGTTCCAGGTTAGGACAATTGTCAAGAATGGCGTCTAAACCGATGCATGTTAATCTGTTCCCGAAAAGCTCGAGGTGGCGAAGTCCGGGCATTGTAGCAGCGATTGCGAGAGCATCATCATCATCATCATCATCATCATCATCATCATCATCCTCATCCTCGCTGCCTTCTTGCTCGCAACCCTCGCTGTTGACTAGCGTCAAAATCTTCAGATTTGGACAAGACTGGCCTACAGCTTTCAGAGACTCTCCTGACCATATGCAATATGAAACCTCAAGGTCTTCAAGCAAAGGAAGCTTCACAAATGCTTCAGTGAGTCCTTCGTTTGTGATTGAAGAGCACTTTACAAGTTTAAGGCTTCTAAGATTACTTGAACTGCAAAATAGTTAAAAAACTGAGACCAAGTTAAAAACTAAGAGCAATAAGATTCACAAGGTAAACTTTTCCTAAGCACCCCAATCTTAGAATCACGGTTCATGTGTCTACTCCAAAATCGAAGAGCAAGAAGAACAAAAAACCCAGTCACACATTCTAGAGAGAGAGAGAGAGAGAGAGAGAGAGAGAGAGAGAGAGAGAGAGAGAGAGAGAACCTCTGGGCGATGTAATTGAGGAGCTCATCAGTACAGAAGTACGAAATGTCGATGCCAAGCAAGCCTCCCTGGCTGCGATCAACTGCGTGACGGCACATAATCTCGAGGTCGTACCCTTTTCTTCTCAAGTGTCCGAGATCATCATGCATGTCAATCTTCCGCCACATCGAAGGGTCTTTGCAGACGCGGCGCCAAGATGTACAAACTTTCTGAGCGCTTTCCAATATCTCAAACGCGTCGAGCCGGAGCAAGATTGATGACGTCAATTCCGGCGGAAGCTCCGCCCACTTTCTTCTGTACTTCGGGGAAGATGCCATTTTCTCTGATGTGTAGTAAAAGGAGTGTGTGTCGATTCAACTTTCAAGACAGGACGTATCTTATCCATCACTAAATTTACCATATGGTCCTCGATGGCACATAATAATTTGGGCTCATTTATAATTAGACTACTATCATTATGGCTTCGCAGTTGGCACGGCCCGTTAACTTTTATATGCTTGGAAAAATGTTTTAAGGTTCGCTTGAGCATTCCTTCAGCCACAAGGAATTTCGCGGTTGATGGATTTGCTCCGAAACCTCTCATTAGTTTCCGCATATATTCTTCAAGAACCAACTTGTTATGAGGAGAATGATATCCTTCATCTTGCTTTTGGGCTCACCGAAACGTAAACTTTTTCATATGACAGGTCAAGACTCGGATCCCAAGTCATTGCAAGACCAGAGCTAGATGGTGTTCGTTTATTCCTTCAGCCACAAGTAACTTTGCCGTTGATGTAATCGTTCCAATAACCACATTCAGCAATCCTATGATCGTTTTGGCTATTATATAATGGAACCTGAGGAACTAAAGGACACAAGAGATGATTCATGTTTCTTATGGAATTTTGATGCTTCCTTAGTGTACGAGAACAGTATTTTTGATCTTTGCATTTCTTGTAGTCTCTGAGTTTTCATCAAAATGGCACAATGCTTTCTTTCATTAAGATGTAGAAGAATAATTCTCAAAACTTATATATAGTCAAAGGAAGATAAAACAACCATTAAGTTTAGAGATGTAGAAAGACAAAGCTCTGGCAAAGCAAACGACACACGGGTCCATTTAAAACTACGAGCATGCTTAATGGTTTTATGGTCTCATATGTGTCGTATTCAGAATGGTCACACGCACATTAGAGGTAAAAGCCTTCCCAATAAAGATCGTCGAATTCAGAATGGTAATCATCATCTTCAAATGACTCCAAATCGATAAACCTTGGATCAAATAGGTAAGCAAGAGTCGAGGCATTAGGGAGCCTCACAACTTTGATCCTCTCGGAACACCGCTTCTCCAGATCCTTGCAAATCTCAAGGTTGTAACACTGGCGTAAATCAAGGTGTTCCAGGTTAGGACAATTTTCTAGAATGGCTTTTAAGCCAACGTTTGATAATCTGTT